CTTAGTTTTTGATAGGTACAACAATCCCGCTTAAAGTACCCAGACCAGGGCTAGTACTGAAAGAGTCTATCCAAATATCAAACTTCACGATTAAGGAAAAATGGCCTTTATTGGTTAATAAGGAAGAACAATTTATTTGTTTTTTAAACTTACTTTAAGTTACGTTTAAAGTATCCCACGTAATCCATTATATTTAATTTTATCAAATCCAGGGATGACGTTTAGAAGGTAGTCATTTGTAAACTTTATTCAATAATTAATATCTTGAATTTTTTGCAAATGCGATTGCTTTGTAATAAATAAAATATCTGTGTATTATACGAACTCCTAGACAAATACAGATTATTATCCGCAATGACTGTCTCGTTGGTATAGTGGTTGTAGTAGTACGACTGCTGATCATGAGGTCCTGGGTTCGATTCTCGGGTCGGGCCAAAAAAACCTAATTATTGAGTTTTTTCGTCAAGAAATTCTCAGTAGTTGCCCGGATTCAGGAAGTTGGAAGTGTCTCACCCCCCGTGCCTCGGAAAGCACGCAAAGCCGTTGGTCTTGCACCTTATCTCTCTCCGGTCGTATCGGTTTAACGTCCCATCGGATTATGAGAGTGAAGGAATAGAGAGTGCACATTTGCTTGCGCATACATTTGGGCTGCGCCGATGGCTAGCCTCCGCTGAGGCAGGCCGTCGTGGCCGAAATCCGGTCTGGAGCACATTATTATTAATTGGGTTATTAATAGAGTAATCACATCTGGTTGAGCTGGATAAATATAAAAAAGGAAAATAAATATACTTAAATATATATTTAATATACTAACATAAATAAATAAATAATACATAAATAAATAAAAGCCCAACCAGATGGGAGCCCTCGGCAGGGGAGACCAAACGGCCAAGGGTTAGGGGGAAAGGGTAAGAAACCGGCGGACGATGCGGGCGGTATCGAGGAGCACCGCCTTCTGCATTTGAGCCCGGAGCGGTCCGTCACGGAGTCCCAGTCGCCTCAGATTGCCCGAGATGCTGGCTGAGCTAACCCGTTAGAGAGATTAACCCGTTTGCAGACACGACTACAGGAATAATTTCGGTCGGCAGACCACCCCACATGTCGGTCACCTCGTGAGCCAGGTCCAGATATTTTGTTCATTTCTCTGTTTCGGATTTCACGAGGTTCTCGTCATACGGAATGGTAATGTCGACCAAAAATATCCTGTGCCCGATCCATCAGGACAATATCAGGCTTATTCGCAAGAATAGTCCTGTCTGTGATGATGGCTCGTTCCTAGCAGAGCCTGGTGCGATCATTTTCGAGCTCGGCTTCCGGCAAATACTTGTAATACGGCACTTTCCGGTCCACGAGATCGTATTTCAGAGCGAGCTCCTGGTGTAGAATTCTGGCTACTAGGTTGTGCCTGTACAAGAACTCAGAGTTGGAAAGCGCCAATCAACCAGAGATGACATGCTTAAGTGAATCCCGGGGGGATTGGCGACAAGCTCGACAGACGACGACAGTGCCATCCTTTAGGATGTATCTCCGTTAGTTGTTGGTCTTAATAACCTGATCCTGTATTGCACAGACAAAACCCTCGGTTTCACCGAAGAGGTCACCGAAACGTAGCAACTTGAGGGAGGCGGCTGTATCTACGTGGAACTCATGTAGAGCCCTGTAGTACCTCCCGTGGAGCTCCTTCCCCTTCCATACGGTCTCCCGATCGGAAATGTTCTGTACTGCCGGGTCCTGTCATTGCTCGTTGGCTAATGATAGAGGGGTAAGCCCTTTATTACTAGAAATGACGTCATTATAGAATGGATCATCCGATCTCACCAGAAAGTATTCACGGAGGCTGCACACTTCGCGATTATGCAAGGTGAGCGCGCTCAGAAAGCCACGCCCACCATGCTTACGCGGCAAGTACAGCCTCATTATCGAATATCTCGAGTGATGCATCCTATGGGACGTCATTGTAGTGCGGACTTTTCTATCCAGGGCGTTAAGTTCAGTCTGAGTCCACCAGAGTATGCCAAAGGTATACATGAGAACAGGCATAACCCAGTCGTTATATGCGGGTGTCTTATTCACACTGGAAAAAAGGCTGCTAAGCACTTTGGTCAATCGTGCATAAAACACGTCGCAAACTGACTGTTTCATACCAGGTATCGGTATGTTTCAGCCACGGAAAGGGTCTTTAAGTTGACGGGCATAGATAAATCTATGCCCTCAGAGTTAGCAACCCTTCCCCTTTCAACATGAAGGACCGCACACTTATCCGTCCCCAGCTCCATTCCAATGGGATTGCTAAATTCACAAGTGATGTTTAGCAATTCCATAAGATGGGAGCGACTGAGGCGAATAACTTGAAGTCATCCATATAGAAAAGGTGGGTCACTTTTGTTCCTTCTTTCCGTAGCTGAAATCCTCTCCCGGAGCCCTCCAGTAAGGTATTGAGAGGGTTCAGAGAGAGGCAGAACCAGATTGGACTCAGACAGTCGCCCTGGAATATACCCCTTCTTATCCTTATGCGGCTTTCTGCAGCCGTCATCTGCTCGCCTAGATGACAGAGGATCGTACTCCACTGCCCCATACACTACCTGAGGAAGTCTCGAACTGTACAGTCAATCTTGTACAGCTCGAGGACCCGAGCCATGTATGGGGCACCGACTCAAATGCCTTTCTGTAGTCTATCCAGGCGGCGGAGAAGTTCCGACGGTTGCGTTTCACCACTTTGCCAATGACCGCGTCAATGAGGAGTGGTTCCTTGGTTCCACGACCACCGCCCCCGACATCCATTTTGAGCGCGTGACATCACCTGATTTAGCTCCAGGCGACGAGTGATTCTCGCGCTCAAAATGGATGTCAGTGTCTTATATATGGTGGGTAGACACGTGATAGGGCGGTATTTTCTCGAGTCTATGGTATACCGATCTTTAGGAACCAAGTGAGTGATCCCATTAGTGAAGAGACTCGAGAGCGACTTCTGATCGAAAGCCTCTTGAAACTGTCGAGCAAGCACAGCGTGACACGCTACGAACCCCTTCAGCCAGTAATGATGCAGCCCGTCGAGCCCCGGACTTTTCCAGTTCGGGGCCCTACGGACCGCCTCAGCCACGTCTTCAGGCGTTATGGTGACTGGGTCCACAGGCGTAACACTTGCACTCTGGCTCGCCACAACTTCCATCCAAGGGCCCTCGCTGTGGTTTACGAGCTCTGACCACAGGCCACGCCAAAATGCGACAGTGTCAGCCTGATCCGGTCCTGGGCCCGCTCCACATACTTCTTGTCGCTCCAATGATTTATAGAGCCTCTTCTGATCACTCTGGAGGAGACGACTCTTGTTGAACCACCTTGACCTCTCGCTAAATCGTCGAATCCGCTTCTAGTCCATTGTAATCATTTTTCACGCTTACAGCGAAAGCAACATAGCCCAACGCAGTTTACTTAGCTGGTTCTACAAGGATATTTTTATTTTGAATAATATCGAGAAAGTTCTTATCTGTTTCTTCTTACTTATAAAAATACTTCAAATGCAAAAGTCTAATAATTGTTAAACAAATGTTGTCCAAAATTTATCGTGCTTTGGATCAGTTTGACACGGATTTGATTAATTAAAATGAAAAGTAATCAAACCGAGGTCAATATCTTCAGCTTAAATAAGGGTCGCCTTTTTATTAGTACACATTTTTTAATACAATTATATATAAAATACAAATTATCATTTCTTCGCTTTTTAATGTAAAACACCTTATTTTACTTATTTCGTCGGTAACAATAAATAAATATTTATTAAAATATTACTGTTCATAATGATTCCTTAAATTTACGCGAACACTACACATTGAATAAAACTAAATTTACGGATTCGCGAATAAACGCGATAGAATCCGTAAATTTAATTTCATTCAATATTACTGTTCATGCAAAAATATCGTGTTAATTCAGTGTGATATTATAAATTCCTTTGTGAATATAATAATTCATGTTTAATTTAATAAACTTATTTTTATTACCTTTCTCCGTCGTATATCCATATTTTGTTAGTAGAGGACTTAAAACACACAGAGTTTAATATATTTAAGAGATATGGGCATAAAAAGAAAATAAATTTGTTAAATGGTCCACTATTCTATACTCGTTCACAACACACATACCCAGTGTATTATTTATTTAATTATTATTTATTAATTATTCAAGTAAATACAACTTTTTTCGTTAGTACACTTAAATGTAGAGATTAGTTAGCTATCAGAGATTATTATATATTATTAAAAATACTGGGCGCTCCGCAAACATACGTGATGCTCTGCAAAAGCGTGGTAGCCTCAACGACAAACTGAATCCATTGTTGTATTGAATATGTAGTGCATTGAGAGTTCTTGGAGTACACCTCGTCCAAAGGCTTCAGGTGTAGAATTTCTGTCAGTAAACTTTGAATAATCTTATTATAACTTCATTCGTAGACACAGAAAACCTACGAGAAAGCATAATATCAACCTCACTGCCAACGTTCAACATGCAGTTGTCATAGTATAGGACAACAAAAAGAGAGGTCTTCTTCCTTCTTGCTCATTATTGTCATGAAAATATTATGTAAATTTTTCAAAATCTAATTCAGACAAATGAGTAACCAACCAGTTCAAAATTACTGAATAAAATAGTATTAATTATAATGGGAATTTAAATTAAATTAGAAAAACGGAGTTCAATTGCGGATAATAATAATAAATATCGGGCTCGGATGCATTGCTTTTTTGAAGAGCTGGAGCCTATCCGTCACTGAGCAAAACCTGGCAGACCAAGTTCGGTACATCCTGCGCTCCAACATATTTGGTGACGCCGAACTCGAACGACTACGACGTGAGGCTGTTCCCTCATGGAATGGAAATGCTACGGCTGGGAATGCGGCGCCACTAGATGCGCAGCAAGCTGCATATTATGTCGATGCTGCCGTCAATATTACATTTGTGGTTAATTCAGACGATGATAGAATAGTCTCCTACGAACTAGAGAAAATGAGGAGCATATTGGAAGAGTCGATGCTGGAAAGGCGCAGCATGCCTCTCGAAAATCGTCCGCGACTTCCCCGCATACCCCTTAGCAAGCGCAATCGGGCTGTCGTGCGAGCTCTTAACCCAATGCTGGTGACCTATTTGGAAGCCAGCCGGAATCTTTGCGAGATGGACTCAACTCTTTTTGGCGCCGCACTGGCAGTATGCCGTATTCTGGGTGCCAAACTTCCCATTTCTGGACGTGCTACTCAACAAAGTAGCGCCATCACAGCCTGGAGAAAAATAATCGAAGACCATATCGCAAAGGCAAGAGCCCTTATCGGCAGACTGACAAGCTTCAGGTCGGGTAATAATAGACCGAGAGTTGTGCGAACCGTTAGAATGGCGTTTCCTGGGACAAATATTAGTTTGTCCCAGCCGATATCAAGCAGAAACTAACGGAGCGCATAGATGACCTGAAGCAAAAAATCGCTGCTTGGCGAAAGCGGATTCGACGATTTAGCGAGAGGTCAAGGTGGTTTAACCAGAATCGTCTCTTTCAGAGTGATCAGAAGAGGCTCTATAAATCATTGGAGCGACAAGAGGTATATGGAGCGGGCCCAGGACCGGATCAGGCTGACACTGTCGCATTTTGGCGTGGCCTGTGGTCAGAGCTCGTAAACCACAACGAGGGCCCTTGGATGGAAGTTGTAGCGAGCCAGAGTGCAAGTGTTACGCCTGTGGACCCCATCACCATAACGCCTGAAAACGTGGCTGAGGCGGTCTGTAGGGCCTTGACTGTACAGTTCGAGATTTCCTCGGAATAATAAACGGAATAAAATAAAATAGCTAAGGAAAATAGCTACCGAATAATAAACGGAATCAAGAAATGTGAAAAAAAATTAGTTGTTTTGATATTCATGTTCAGATCATTGGTTCTGGTAATGTAATATTTAAAAAAATAATTATCTTAGATATGTGCCGTGATAACCCGGAAAAAATCGACTCGAGTTAACTCGAGTTGAAATTCAGGTAACTGGATTTTGAGCTCGAGTTACGCAATTCAAATTAGCTGAACGATATTAATTTGTAACAAATTATTTTTATAATTGTTCTTCCATCCAACACAATTATTATTAGTAAACTTAATAGGTAGTTATATAATATTATTTTTGGTTTGTGTGTCGATAATTTTCACAAAATAATATACCATTCTGATGTTATGACGTAAGTCTTAATATTTACTATCAAAAGTATACTTATAAAAAAAACTTATTAAAAAGTACATAATATCAATTCATATTATAAATAACATAAATTGATATTATATTATAAACATATTACGTAATAAAAATTTATGATAATATAACATAATATAATAGTATAATAATAATAAATTAGTTACATTAGTTAGTTGATTTCATCACTAAATTGTAGACAGACACTGCATTGGCCATAATAAAAATATGCGACTCGAGTAGAATTTTGTGACTCGAGCCACTCGGGTTAATTTATGTATGGTATTCTAGTTGTACACTAGTTTTCGAGTAAATCGACTATTTACAGACCTTGTATCGAGTAAAAGTTTATCACTAGAGATGTGAGTGGCGACTACTTTAGTTAAAACATTTTTAAATATGTACCTTTATTAAAGACGTAATATGTATGTGGCAACATGAAATTAAAACTGTAAGTCAATATTATAAATCAAACTAAGTTCACATTGGTTTACAACATGCCAGATGCAAGTTTGAATTTGGATGCAACCTGTGATGTCACCCGCGGTGACTTATTTTACAACTAAATTAGTGAAATAATATCTATATAGCACTCTCTAAATCTATACGATGCGCTGAGTTAATTCAGTAATTCGGTAAAATTTATTTTCTCTCGATTATTCGAATTGGACAAGTTCGCTCGATTCACTCGAGTGAAATAAAACATGGTTCGAGTCGCATACTTATGGTAATAATAAAATGAAATCTGTGGTAAAATATTGTTTAATGGTCGCACAGTTAACACAATACGTGTTTGATTTTTATTTACAAGCATTACAAGACTAATGTTTAAGGGAATATAGATATTATCAATTATCATGAAGGTTAGCCAAATATTAATTGACACATTACGTATGTATATACCTTTTAATTTTTTGTAGTAAAATTCGCAAATAAAACTAACGAGTTTAGGTTAATTAATATAAGAGTTTATTAATGAATTGAATTGAGTTGAATTGAAATGAATTCAATTCAAACCACTACGTCATTGAGTTAAAGTTATATTGGTGCAATTATTTTATTTGGTGCAATTAATTAAACATGTCAGTCACAAAAGCCATCTAGACGCGCGTTTTGTATAATTTTGTATTAAAATCATTGAAACTAACGAAATTATTCTTTTTCTCACGCCCTAAATTGACGTTTACGTAAATTGAATTTAATGGTAAAAATGTTCATTCAGCTAAGGAATTATTCGAATGAATTATCAGTGCATATAATATAATAGTGTGTAATATATTTCATAATAAAACAATCATTAACACATTAGATAGGATTTTTAACGCATTTTTATTTAATCCATAACCACCAACGTATTTATTAGTCTTTTTCCTTTTTATCAAAAAAAGGACTAAACAATAAAAAGACATAAATGCAAAAAACTTCAATTGCAAAGTCAACAAGAACTAATCCAGCCTGTTTTTTCTGCCATTAATCGGGAATTATTCGCATTTATCCAGAATCAAAGCGAACACAATAGCTAACCCCCAGTTATTGGGCAACCTTTGTTTTAAAGGAAATTCCAGTGATAAAAATACGTAATCCTAACTTTTAACTGTACAGGTCAACGGAGCCAGTGTGCAATATTTGTCTTTTTCTTTTTTGTTCCAATAAAGGACCAAACAAGAAAAAGACGTATAAATGCAACAAAATCCAATTGCAAAAACAACAAAAACTTATCGAGCCAGTTTTTTCCGCCAATAATCGGAAATGATTAGGATTTATCCAGAATCAAAGCGACAAAAATAGCACATACTGATCTACACGTGCAATTAATCGGGACACTGCGTACTAGGTCGCTCGCGTTTGCAACACAATGGATGTTGAAACCGTTGCAGCATGCGAGCTATGCATATTTATTATAGCTAATTATATCAATTTCGTAAAAAGAAATATATGTCGTTGTCATCGCAATAGTTTTTCTCTGTATATTATTTACTCATATGATAATATGGCTAAATATATACATATATATCCTGCCTACAAGTAATTGTTCCGGGTCTGGATGTTTGCCCTTGTGCAATTTATGTATGTAAACTGCCCCCACGATATAAAAGAAAGTCCTAGTGTGGGGATAACGTTTTTTTTTAGAGAATAAGAGGGCATTATCATTAAAACTTGTCTTTTTTACCTGACTCGTTAATAATTTCTTTTTTCTCATCAACTTTATTTCGTTTTCAAAATGTGCGTCATCTGTTCATATCTGACCACTATTTGAATTTAGCATTCACTCAGGTCACTCCATAAAGTTCAAGAATTATATATATATATATATATATATATATATATATATATATATATATAATTCCTACGTCTTTTTAGCGAGACAATATATTGAAAGAAATATCTGTGATTATAAAATTAATTAGCCTGGTCAAGTTTGTATCAGATTTGTTTTTTGGAATGTTTTGTATTTCTACAGCGATATTTTTCATCACGAGCCGCTGTAAATAAACGATACAGTAACCCTCTCCCAGTAACTCACGACGGCGGTTGAGTCCGCACGTATATACATATATTACAGTAATCTACGACCCGCACTGATTCAATGTGGATCTGTATTTACTAAAGTATATTGTCTACAAGGAAGTTAAAACAACGATGATTTCGGTATTTCTTAGCCGAAAAAAAATTAATTACTCGTATAACTAAACAAAATTAAACAGTCATTTACATTCCGTGGCTTCCCACTTAAAAAAAATAGTAGAGTAGAACATTTGACATTTTCAAAAGTTTTCGTATTTATATCGTCATGCGACCTTGATAAATCAACACCTTAAGCCACTAAAACCACTATTTGATGTAAAAATAGCAATTAATCGTTTTAAAAAAAATCAACAACTCTTTATCTTTCTAACAATGTGTTTTTATATCATTTATATGTTCAATATGATTTTTACCTACGATTAGAACAAATCGTTGGATTCTTGATTTTAGGCGCTAGTAGAACATACTTACGCGCTTTGCGCTTAATGCATGCAAATATCGAAAAAAAAACTTTTAAACTCAAGTTCTCTTTTTTGTGGGCGAAACGAATTTTTTTTTTCATAAATATGAACAGCATGTTATTGAATTAGTTTCTTAATTGAATATTTTTTATTTAGATTGTTTTTCCCGAAAAATATGGAAACACTTTTAAAAGTAACTTTTGCCCACAGAATGTCGCACGCTTACTATGGGCTGGACAAAATAAGCGTGCAGCAGAGAAAGGAGCGCTAAATGCCATTTTGTAGGAAAGCTCCCTCTTGATGCTTTGTTTGTTGCTTGAAAGTTATTTCCTATTCAAAATAGTTGCAAAATATTTTAATGTAAAACTCAAAATCTCAACTATTTATGTACAAAAGTGTGTTTTTCCAAGTAATCTTCTTCTTATTTCTTTGTAATCCAGCAAAATGCCATAGCTGGACAAAGGCCCCTTCCGTTGCACAAAGGCTTTACTGCTGTATATTCTTCTATTGAAAGTAAGGGCTTAGTAAGATTATTTTTCGTTATCACTATGAACTTCATTAATCTCTAAATAGGTATTGGTTTTTCCTAAGTTAGAAAGAGGTTATTGTAATTGACATTGGTAATTGGTATCTGATCCTGTGGAAATTAGATATTATGTCGGCTTTCAGTATTATATAAAATATTTATTTTTTTATAGGATAGAGTGACAAACGAGCACACAGTCCACCAGATTGTAAGTGGTTGCTGTGGCCTATAGACATCTACATTTATCCTCGATTACGAATCAAAATGCAGATGCGTTGTCACTCGTGAAGACTAAGATGGAATGCCTCGTTTCCAGAAAAAAGTGGTCTCTGGTTCGCTACAGTCATCATACGAAACACATCAACATTTAGCTACTATTTTACGCTGGAATTCTGTCAGAGCGTGGTCCTTCTCCGGTTGAACCTAACAATCATATAAAAAGCATACACCCACAGCACAGCATCCACTTACCATTAGGTGAACTATGTACTTGTTTTCATCCAATACTATTAAAAAAACCTGCGTCCATCTTAAAAAAGGAATGAAGCATGTTTGTTTTTATGTCAATTTAACATTTAAGCACAGAGTATTTATGCGATATTTAGATATTTGTTGGATAAAATATGAAAATTGAGAATGTTAGCAGTATGCTAGTTAGTAAAGTGCTTTTCAAATTTTGGTTGAACTTGACTTGTACAAGCAATTTAACTTTAAATTTTACGAAACTGCACCTGTAGTCCCGCGGGTATCGGTTACTAGACAAAATGATACTGCGTGATGTTTTATGTAAAGTATCTTTGATAAAATCTCCGTCTACATGAAGATCGATATTTCCTGAACATAAATTTAATCACGGATCCATCGCATACACATATAAATTCACTCGTGTTAACTTTTGAATTTAACCTACTGCATATGATTGATAATTTTGTATTTTATACCTTAAACATTCAACACTATGATCAAGTTTTAAAAATCAAAATAAATTATCTTGGATGTTAAACGCTGGCCTATCCTTACCTCTTCATCAGAGTCCACTGCTGAATAAAGGCCTCTCTATATAATGCCCCATAAGC